AGATTACCAGCTTTCTCTGAACAGTTCTCTCCAAGGTCTGATGGCTTTGCCAAGCCAAATGCCAGAAAGAATTCTGGTTGGAGCCAGGTTATGGAGAGCCATAAATACCAAGTGAAATCATTTGGATTTTACCCTATAAACAAGAATTCTAGACTGGGAATCATCAGTCCCGGTTTCAGATCTCATCTTTGCCATTTCTTGCCTGTTGGACCTCATCTGTAAGGTGAAGGGTGGGACTAGATGACCCTGAATCTGCCCCCAAGCTCTAAATCTGCTCTTAGAAGCCATTACATTTCTAGTTTCAAGTGTCTGTCCTACAATGCTCCCCGTGCACCTGAAGCAGAATAAAATGCAACTGAGAAATGCATAGCAAAATAAATGAAATGCAACAGAACATAGATAATGTCAATATGTGACTTTCTGAATCAATATGGGGCCCACAGGGATGCTTAGGTAAGATTTGGTGGCCTCTGTTTCTATTTGAATTTGACACCACTGCCTTAAAGCATGAAAAGTACCTCACCCTGACCTTCCACTGACTCATGGCAAATGAATCCCTGGAGACCATTAGTTCCCAAAGAACTCCACACATTTTCCCCCAAGTAAAGTAAATCTAGTCAAAAATCACTGAAGAAATCTAAGTAGCAGTTGGCTGGTCAGTTAGGTGAGGAATTAGCATTAGTTAGATATTAAGATGTGAGAGGCAGCAGGAGATAATCCTGGACTTGGTCAAGAATAATCTGCCTCAAAGATGTCACAGCTTTGTGACCTGAGAAAGTGAGAGGATAGTAGGATCATGGCTGGAGATCCAGGGAAAAACCTCAGAAGCTACCTAGACTAACCCATTCTTTTTACAAATGAGAAAACTGAGACCGAGGGAGGTTAAATGGCTTTCCCATGGTTCACAGAAGCAGTAAACATCAGAGACAGACTTTGCAGCCAGATCATCAGGCAATTTCTTCTGACAGTTTCTTCCTCTGAAAATTATATAAAAATAAAGATACTTATTATAAGACTTTGGGGAGAATCAAATGAGATAGTGTATGGGATTGCTCTAAAAGTGCCAGCTATAGATACTGAAAATTGTTGGCATGTAACAGCTACAAGCTCTGACCTTGTACTGATCCAAGTGGAAGAGAAAATTTCCCCAGAAATCTATTACCCTTCAGGCTGCTATTTTAAATCCTACCCTCTTCTAATTTACCTTTTCACCCCAGGGGCCTCCAATTCCCACCTCGGCTCAATACTGAATCAGACCCACAGCCATCCTGGGGAATGCCGAGCCCTGAATAGCCGAGCGTTTATAAAGACAAGCCCTTACCATCAGGGGCCCAGCCCGTTGCTGTTCCTCACATTAAGTTCCCAGGGATCCTCACAAAAGCTGGGCAGGGGGATTGAAGGGGATCTGTACTCTGGGAATATGCCAGTTTCCGCTGAATTCTGGGAGCCCTCTCATCAAACGACCAGAGCACATAAAGCATCCATTTAAACTTGATACCTATTCCAATCAGTAGGGGTTTCAAATAAACCTGTCAAATTGACAGGAACAGTCCGTGCTTCCACCCGCCTGATTAGAAACTATTGAATTGTGAGCCCCAGGGATGTGTGGGGGATGGTGGGCGGGTTGACAGATCAGCCTCTCCATGCTTGCCTGCTTTGCAGGAATAAAATTTATCAAGGCAGCAGCCTCTTCAGGCTATGGAACTTCAGTGCAGTTAGACACAATGTGATCCAGGGGAAAGAACTGTGGCCTGAGCTTTAAGTCCTAGCTCTGTCATTAGCAAGCTGTGTGACCTTGGAAAGGGTAGTTAACCTCTCTGGGTCTCATTTCTCTCACTTATAAACTATACAAATAATAATAATAATAACAACAATAGCTAGCATTTATATTGTGCCAGGCACTATCTTAAGTGCTTTATGAATATCATTTCATTTGATCCTCATAACAACCCTGGGAGGTAGGTGCTATTATTATCCTCATTTAACAGGTGAGAAAACTGAGGCAAATAGAAGTTAAGTGCCCAGGGTGACATAGCTAGTAAGTGTCTGAGGTCAGATCTGAACGTAGATCTTCCTGACTCCAGGCACAGTGCTTTGTCCACTGAGCTATCTAGCAGCCCAAAATGATCCTTATTCCACTGTGAGGTCATTGTAAGAATAAAATGAGATTGTTGATAAAAAAAAATTTTTGAAAGTTAAACCTATTTCATCTCTACAGGATTCCTGAGCAAATGGAGTATAAGATCGTAGCTGGAAGAGATCTCAGAGGACCCCTCCTCCAAACCCCTCATTTTACAAATAAGGAAGCAAAGACCCAGGAAGTGATTTCCCTAAGGTCACTCAGGTAGCAGACATCAGAGGTGGTATCTGAGCCCAGTTCTTCTGACCCCACAGCCAGTGCACCTTCCTTGGTACCATGATGCTGTACTGCCTTTGCGAACATATGTCTGCCTTTTGCCAGATGTAAACCTTCTAAGCCTGAAACACCGTGATCACAGGGCCAAATGTGTTCCTGTCTCCTGGATAACTGTTCTCCCCCTGGCTTGTCCATTTCTGGCTACCATATCCTTGGAATTCTCCTCACGTTTAGGCACTGGCCTCGTTGGACTACTTACCATCAGATCCAATTCTTGAAGTGGCCCTTAATGTCAGGGTTTGCAGGCAGCTGCTATAGGCTGGGCAGATTGCTTTGTTGTGCTCTAACATCTCTCGACATAGGATTTTGGAAATACGGTAGTCAGATATCTTTAGGCTGGCAACCATATTTATGTAAAATTATGAGAAGCCAGTATGGTGAAAGCTACATGCAAAATGCTACTTTGGGAAGTGCCTCCTTAGCATAGCATTTCTTTGATTTCTTAGGATACAGCCCAGACTGAGATTCTTCTTGGTTAAAAGGAATTGTGAAATGAGCAGGAAATTGGGTTCTAAATAGCTTTACCATATGTTGTAGTGGAAAGAACACTAGATTTAGATTCAAAAGACTCGTGTTCAAATGCTAACTCTGACATTGATTAGCTGTGGAGCCATGGGCAAGTCTTTTACCTCTCTCAGTTTCCCCATCTGAAAATTGGAATGGTACTTGTAGCATCTATTTCATGGGGTCATTTTGAGGAAAGTATTGAATAGAACTCAAGGTATATTATATAAATGTGATTTTATCTGAATTCATAAGACTGTCTCCTTTCTAATCTACTCTGAGCAGTCAGTGATGTGTGAATTCATAAGCTCTCCAATTTAGGTGAGTCATAGACCTTCCCAAGAACTTAAAACAGTAAAGGACACACTTTATATACATCAGAGAATTGGCTGTCTGCGTAAGTGGAAAGTCTGAGCTATAGGATATTTTTTAAAGAAATGGAGCTTTGTTCATTTCAAGTTTATATAGCAATAGATTAACTGTCAACAAAAATTTTCCCAAGTTGTGGTCTTTTCATGACAAACTTCAACTCATCCTTTGCTATAATTACCCTTTCCAAGTAATAAATGAGTGTGGTCTCAGTGAGGGAGGCTTTATTTTTATTTCATATTAAAATATATTTATTTTATTATGGCTCGTAAAATGGAGGTCTCAGGAATTCATGGTACCAAACTCCTCTCTCCATCTGGTTCATATTGTCTAATTTGCTGTCATCAGTGTAGAACTGGGGCTCAGAGGAGAGTTTAAGGATGGATATGTAGATCTTGGATTCACCTGAGAGAGATTGTAATTTAAAAATGAGAGTTGATGAGGTCACTGGGAAAATGTATAAAAGGGAGAAAAGAGCCTAGGACAGAGCCTTGGGGGTGCCCACGGTTAGGATATAGAAGAGACTGAGGAGGGATACACTCATAGATTATTAGTTGTATGGGCTCTTAGAGTTACTGTAGCCCACCCCCTCTCCACATTTTGAAGATGAGGAAATAGGACCAGAGAGATCAAGTGACTTGCCCAAAATCACACAGCGAGTAACAATTCATTGTAAAGCTATTACCGCGTCATTTAACCTCTCTAATTTTTCTCATCTGTTAAAATGTATCTTTCCCAGCATAGGACACAGAGTAGAAAACCTCAATAAAGACTTGCTGAAATGCAAGGATCTAAGACAACTCCAAAAGGCTCATAATGGAAAATGCTATCCACACCCAGAAAAAGAACCATGGAGTCTGAATGCAAATGGAAGCATACTATTTGGTCTCCTTTTCTTTTGTTGTTTTGTTTTATTTCTTCTTTCTCGTGGTTCTTCCCATTAGTTCTAATTCTTCTATGCATCATGACTAATGTGAAAATATGCTTAATATGAATGTATAAGTAGAGCCTATATCAGATTACATGCCATCTTGAGGAGGAGGGAGGAGAGGAAGGGGGAGAAAATTTAAAACTCAAAATCTTATGGAAGTGAATGTTGAAAACTAAAAATAAACAAATTATTTTTTAAAAAAAGAATGAAAAAGATAAAGTCCTAAAAAAAAAAGACTCGCTCAGTGAATGAATGAATGAATGAATGAAACAGACTAAGCACTAGTGCAAACAAGTGTTTGGATCCTAAGGAAACCAGAGCAGACCCAAGAGAAATCAGGCAGCGTTGCTAATGAAGCCAGACAATCAGAAATGTGCAGTTATGCCCTGAGTTTTTCCCCTTGGTTTGCTTATCACAGGAATGTCTATTGTGGAGAGAACTCATTAAGTGTTTCTGCTTCAGGCAGACAGATGCTTATATTCTTGTGACTTCATGAGATGAGCTTTGAGAAATGAGGTAAAGGAAAAGGAGAGACGAGGCAGGGAATGGGAGAGTGGCCATGAGCCAATGTACACTTTATGAACCAGATAAAATTTTTGTGGCCTATCTGGTTTGGGAAAATACTTCCAAGGTGCCTTCTGTTGGCTTTTAACATGCAAAGATATCCTGGAAGGAGCATTTATAATGAAAATATTTATCCCCTTTCCCACTTTCCTGTTTCTTGTGCTCACCTTGAATCCCTGTCCCTCTTTGGTCAAATATCATTCTGTCCTGTTTCAGTGATTCCTGATGGAGCCCTGGATAAGTCAGCCCTTGGAGATGAGCTGGGGAGTGAGGAGGACCTGTATGAGGACTTCCGAAGCTCCAGCCACCATTACGGCCACCCAGGAGGAGGAGGGGAGCAGCTGGCCATCAATGAGGTAGGGCAGTACTGCTCCCTAGGGAAAGGGGGAAAGGGAAGTTTTTCCCAATGATTATTCAGTCGTTAATCAACAAGTGTATATTGGTCTCCTACACCAGGCCCAGCTAAGATTATGATGGTAAAATACAGATGGCCACAGTTTCTAATGCTTTGTATTATGCTTCATTCCTCCAGTATTAGCAAATAAACACTCACCTTTTATCTTTTACCACCTCTATGCACCTGCTAATATCCAAATAGAGAACAGCAATGCATGAACAGTCAGGAGTGAGCCTTACCATGAGTCACTTTAAGACAGTCTCTAGGAACTAACTCAGTGTATGGAAAAAGTGGAAATTCCCTATTAGTTAGTTAGCTCCTTGAGAACCAAATCTGTGCCTTACTTCATCCCTATTTCCATAGTGTCTGGTATAATACTTTGCACTGTTTTTGCTTAAAGGCATAATCAGTTATCTGGAAAATTTTCTTGCACAGAACTCAACCTTTGAGGATGTTAGGTCAGTGAGACACTATTGCATTATTATTTTTTTACTGTGATCTAGAGTCATTGCAAAAGTCTTCCCAGGTCATCTATGATTTCATTCCAGAAGAGAATTCCTGACAAAGAAGTCCCTTTTACTATTGCAGATTGGCAACTGTGCTGTAACGTTTGGTCTTCCAGCGCTGCCTAGGAGACTAAGATGTTGAGTAACTGGCCCACAGTCACAAATCCAGTACAGTAATAAAATACAATAAACATTTATTAAGTGCATTCTATATTTCAGGTACTGTGCTAAGCACTAGGGATACAAATAAGAAAAATAAATATGGTCCTTGCCCTCAAGGAGCTTACAGTCTAATGAGGGAAAGCAACATTCCAAAGGAATCTGAAAAAGGGGTGGGGGAAGGGCACCTGGCATGAGGATATGATGGTGGTGGAATCTAAACCAAACAGTTCAGCTGGTGGGAAATGAAGAGTTGACTGGGCTTCTGAGCCCTCTTTGAAGGACAGTTTGGCGGGGAGGGGACTTTTTTACTCAGCCCTCCAATCAGAGGCAACTGAGAGTACTGATGTGGTGTAAGTAGACAAGCTGAAGGAATCTCTCTGGTTTACTAGTGATGAATTGGGGTGGGGAAGGAGGGAGGCATAATGATGGTAGAGTCAAAACCCAGGAGTGCAGGTTATAGAAAATAAATATCCAACATATATCAAAGGCAGGACTTTACCCCAACTCTTCCTAGCCTCTATCCATTACCCCTGGCTGCCTCCTACTTTGTACACAGTGCTAAAAAAATGTTAACTTGAAGATATTGTCCCTTCCCTCAAAGAGCTTATAGTCTATTTTGGGAGTTCTTGATCAACAGGAGAATATAATAAAGTGCTAAATTATGTAATTCATATTAAAGAGTATTATAAGAGTTATAAGTTAGTCTTTAATGTATTATTATATATTATAATGTTTTATTATATTAATTTTTATATATAATAGTATATGTTAATTATATTAACTGTTATAGTAGTAGAAATTCTACTTTCAGTGAATCATATTAAAGTATGTTAGAAGAGTAAAAGGCTAGTCTTTAATATAGTAACTATTATAAATCTTTTTATAATAGTAGAAAGTACTTTTTGCTGTGGTATAGATTTCTATTTCCCTGGTTAGCCACCAGAACCTCATAGCATCTGTTTAGATAGAGAAATAGTGAAGGAGGGAATGGAGGCAATTCATTTTCATGGTGAGATAAAGAGCTTAGGATACTGCTTGTGGGCTGACATGCTGTCTCTCCTTAAGCTGAAATTTGCCCAGCATCCTCACCTAAATGGAAGGACTAAGCAGGAAATATCATCTCTGGAAAGCTGTTTCCTGTGCCTTGTTCTCATTTCTGTACTCATGTTTGTGTCCATGGAGAATAAACACTAAAAGAATGTTAAGACATTGACTTTTTTGTTGCTGACTTCATTGCAATAGTCACAGAAGACAGTAAAGACTGCAATTTTCTGGTAACAAACACGTAGTGTTTTTTTTTTCCTTGTGGATAGGTAAGATTCTTAAGTTTCTGGCTCTTTTCAAACTAAAATCTTCCTTTGCTTGATTATGTTGGAGGATTTTTCCACTGGGAAAGAGTTGATTTCTGAGTGGTTAAGCCTTCAGTATTTATTGAGATTGATGAGCTGCTGGAAACAGTAACTGGTACACCAGCATCAAACAGTGAGACAGAGTAAGTGACACTGAGAGGTTGGAGTGAATGGGCAGGTGTGACCCTTTGGAGGGACTACAGATTACAGTAAAAAATAATAATGCACTAGAACCTCATTGACTCAGCATCCTCAGAGAATGAGCTTTTGCACACAAGAAAATTTTGCAGATAACTGATTATGCCTTTAAGTACCAATTATTTTAAACTTAATAATTTGGAAAGAAATATTTCTAAAACCTTCACTGTTTTTTAAAAATAAATCATTCTGAACAGAATTTTGCCTTTTCTTGATGACTCAAGGTCTTCATTATGGACATCACTTACTGTAACACAGCAATGTCCACAAAGACTTTTGATACATGTAGACATCTGTATTCAACAGAATTGTATTAAGTACTAGGTGCAGCTCCTCGAGTTGCAAATGCATTTCTTCTTCATTTCCACGTCACAGAATCCTCAGTTTCCCTTAAAGCATAGCTTAGAAGATGCCTCCTACCCAGGGCCTTTCCTGATCTCTCTCTCTTTCTTCTCCCTCTTGAAATTACTTTGCGCTGCATCACATTGACTTATGTGAATACACGTTGTATCCTTCCAGTAGAATGTAAGCTCTCTGAGGGCAGAATTTTATTGTTTTATTTATTGGTTTTACTTCTGAACACTCAGAGCCTAGTCACAGTACCTTGCACCTAGTACTTAATACAATTCTGTTGAATACAGATGTCTACATGTATCAAAAACCTCTATGAACATTGTTGTTTGGAAGCAGGAGATGGAGGAGATGGAGTGCCACGTTTTGGGAATAGCTATCAAGCCAGTCTGAACTTCAGAACAGCAGAATCAGAACTTTTTGCCCCCAACAAAGTTCCCCAGACTTCTATGGTTTTTAACTTCTACAGTGACCCAAAAGTTTTAGTGCAGTCTTAAGACGCCTTGTATTTTTTTTATTCACTTTTTTCTTTCTCTTCCCTCATACTTCTTGCTGTTATCTGTGTGCCTGCCTCCAGCAATCCTCCCTCCTTCTAAGAGAGAGAGAGAGAGAGAGAGAGAGAGAGAGAAGGGAAAGAGAGAGGGAAGTGGGTAGGAGGAAGGATTGATATATAGATAGATAGATAAGGATTGCTAGAGAGACAGCAAGAGAGATATTAAATATATGTATATGTTTGATGTGTATATATATAATATTGATCTGTTTATTGATATTGATATATCTATATGTATACATCTAGATACATTTACATATAACTACATCTAGCTATATCTGTAGATAAAGATAGGTATCTATAGATATAGCTATATATGTATATATAACTATACCTATATCTAGCTATATATAGATCTATATCTAGAGAGAGATCTATAAGTATATATACACATATACTATATATACATTGAATATAATATATTTAATGCCTCTCTATATGTATATAGAGAAATCAGTATGTAGCTATAGATATAGCATATGCATACATATACATACACACACATCCTTGCTTCTAATCTGGTAGTGGGAAACCAAATAACCAACGGTGTTTGACTTGTGGATACAACAGGTGTTGTGCAAGTGTGTGGATTTTGTGACACCAATTTTTGGTTGCCCTGAAGTCTTTCTGGATAGTTGAGATAGCCAGCTAAATGATTTCCAGAAAAGGCAGAATAACAGAACTGGGCTTGAAGACAAAGGACGTACCTACTGGGATCCTTCAAACCCTGACTCTGGCACACTTACTGTGGTACTTTTGTGATGTTGGACAACTCACTTAACCTTTTTGGGCTTCAGTTTTCTTATCTGTAAAATTTGGGAATTAGACTAGACGATCTCTAAAGTCACTTCTAGGTCTTAATTCCTGTCACCATATGAGAAAGGTGTCAAAATTACACCTGTGTCGTGCTTTATACTTTTGGATCCATCATTGCATTAAAACTCTCACCTATCGGGGCAGCTAGGTGGCTCAGTGGATAGAGCACCAGCCCTGAAGTCAGGAGGACCTGAGTTCAAATCCGGCCTCAGACCAAACACTTGACACTTACTAGCTGTGTGACCCTGGGCAAGTCACTTAACCCCAATTGCTTAAAAGCAAAAAAAACCTCTCACCTATCCTTGAGGATGGTGGAATGGGTATGGAGAGAGAGGAAGAAGAGGGAATTTATATACCTCCTACTATATGCCATGTGCTTTTTACAAAGTAGAGTCTATTATTATCCCCATTTTCCAGTTAAGGAACTGAGGCAAACAAAAGTTAAGTACTTACTTAGGGTCACACAATTAGTAAGTGTCTGAGGCTGTATTTGAACTCAGGTCCTCCTGACTCCTGGTGCTATCCATAGCACCTCCTAGGTGCCCATTTTATAGATGAAGAAACTGAAACTAATAAGTGGCTCACCCAGAATCATCCAGCAAATGGAGCTTAGAACTCCCCTGATTCCTACTCCGATTTTCTGTTCTAACATAGTACCTCACAAAAATCCTGAAACAAATTTACTTTTTCCAAGGTGTCTATGTAGAAAACCTTAGAGGTACAAATAAACTTTACCTTTAAGCACGCTCGTCAGAATTTTGAAACAAAAGATGGCTCACTCATTTAGACTTGGACACCCTTGAGTCCTTAATGGCTAAGGCCTCTAGAAAAACCCTTGAAAATTAGTGAATTCCCAGCCATGTGCTTAGTAAAGAATTCTTTGATTGTAATTTTATGTCAGGCTGTAAAAATAATAATAATGAGTGGAAGGGAAATCAGAAGGCCTCTTGAGTTCTCTTTCAGACTGAAATCTAGGAACCTACAATCTCTTGGTCTCACTGCAGACACCAACATTTGAGAAACT